AACATGCACAAAAACAAGACAGACCAAAACCAAGCAACAATGTACAACAAAACAGCAACAACAAACCACTGACAAAGAACAAATGAAAACACAACAAGAAAGAAAAGCGTGTAGTCAGTTCAAGGATCGCTGGTAGGGCTGAGCTTTCTAAGAGAGATCGCCAGGCCTTTCTTCTAGATCAGCGGTTCTCAACTGTGGGTCACGACTCCTTTGGGGATCAAATGACCCTTTAACAGGGGTCGCTTGATTCATAACAGTAGCAAAATTAGTTATGAAGTAGCAACAAAATAATCTTTTGGTTGGGGGGGGGGGGAGTCAACACAACACGAGGAACTGTATTAAAGGGTATCAGCATTAGGAAGATTGAGAACCACTATTCTAGACAGACTCAGACAGCCTACCTTCTGGTTAGCATAGATGTACACTTGGTTTTTTCTCAAAAGAGCAGAAGTCTAGATTTCTTTCCCCTGGGGCTTTTGTTCTTGTTGCCACTGCAACACGAAGTGGCTCACAAACACCTACCTGTTTAATTCTGTCTGTTAGCTGTGAGACCTCACTCCAGTCCCCCTACGCGTCCTCATTTCCTCACATGCAAATCAGATTTTGTAGAGATTAATACGGTGTTTCTGATCCAAATGCTAGCCACTACGTTCCTGTTGGGACAGCCAGTAACTTTAGGCAGCAATGAGAATCTCTCAAGTGCCAATCTCCTAGTTCGGCAAGAATAGCATGTGTTAGGTGTTAGCCGGCCAGCAGTCCTTATCCCTGAGTGGATTCTATTTCCTGGCTCCTGGCTTTGCTTTTGCCCAACATGGATTTTGATGACATTCCCTCATTTACTCTTTCAACAAGTATTTATGGAGCAGTACGATGGGTGATAAAGATCTAGGGTTGCAGACCTCTGGATACAGATTAAAATTCGATGTAAAGTACCAAAATCCTCACAACAGACCAATAGGTATCATCATGACAAGGGAGAAAAGACGAGTGGTCAAGGGCTCTTCTTGCTTGGATCCAATCCTATCCTCATGGAAGCAGCAGTTGAGAAACCAGATGAAGAATTGGGTGAACCTGCTGCAGGACACCTCTTTAAAGTGTTGAAAAGCAAGGATGTTACTTTGAGGTGTGAGGTGTGTCTGACCCAAGCCATGGTATTTTCAGTTGCCTCACTGGTATTTGAAAGTTGGGGACCAAAAAGGAAGACCGGAGAAGAATCTATGTGTTTGAATTATGGTGTCGGCAAATAATATTGACAGGGACTGCCAAAAGAAATCTGTCCTTGAAGAAGTACACCCAGAATGACCCTGAGAGGCAAGGATGGGGAGGGTTTGTCTCGTGTATTTTGGACCACTTCCTGGAGAAGGGCATCAGCTTGGTCGAGTAGAGGGGCAGCGAGAAAGGGGTAGGCCTGCGACGAGATGGACGGACACAGTGGCTGCAACCATGGGCTCACACATATGAACAGTCGTGAGGCTGCCGCAGGACTGGACAGTGCCTCCTTCCATCGTGCACAGGGCCACTATGAGTTGGAACCAACTCGATGGCACCTAACAACAGCAACAATTCCCTGGGCTCTGGATATAAACGAGCAGACTTACGCTAGTCCATTGTTTGTTTTGTGTGATTCTGGAATATAATGATTGTCTATAGTGCCACCCAGTTTCCACCCACCTCAAAATTTTGATGATGAAGACTAGACCAGTTCTAATTCTAGAACTTAGAAGAGTTCACCAAGAACAGTTAATTTCACAGATTTCATGGACTGAACTCACTCAGAGTTCTATCCCTGAAACATTTTCTAAGGCACCCTGGTGGTACAATGGTTAAAGTAAGGTGACCAGACGTCCCGCTTTTGGCGGGACAGTCCTAATTTTTAACAATTTTTCCCGCGTCCCACAGCGTTTTTAAAAAAGCCCAATTTTTGGAAAGAATGCACGACAAGCTAGGGTATACGGTTTTCGGCAGCCATGTGGCTATTTCACCAGGACATGAGTTTTGTCAATGGTGTCCCGCTTTACCAATGTTAAAATCTGGTCACCTTAGGTTAGAGTGCTAACCTGGAGGGAGAGAGACATAGCAGTCTGCTTCCAGGCTGGGAAACCCCAAGAGGCAGTTCTACTCTGTCCCCATAGGTTTCAACCAATTGGAATTCACTCAATGGCAGTGTGTTTGGTTTAGGTTTTGAGAAGAATTGTCCAATAAAGCATCTAAACACAGAAAGAGGGGCTTATGTGTCACAAGATGTGATTAGTAAGACAGATGCCCGAAACCACACAGGGTCTGCCGATGACATGATTGCTCAAGACAATGTTAACTTCCTTCTTGGGAGTGCTGAAGAAATGACCCAAGGCTGAGTCTGAGAAACCAGTTTCAACCACATTCTTCGGCTTGGACATGGCAGGATCAGGTCAATTTCTTCTTTTGATGAACTATCACCCACACAGAAGCCCCGTGGGAGCGTACAGGGTTAAGCCTGGGGTTGCTAAACAGCAAGGTCAACAGTTCAGAACCACCAACCGCTACTTGGGAAGTTGAAGCTTTCTCCACTCCTGTAAAGATGTATGTCCCAAAGAGTTGCTGTGAGTCAGCATTGACTTGATGGCGGGGATTGCTGACATGGGTGGGGGCGGGGGAGAGGAATTCCACCATCGTGTCCTCCCAGCAGCCATTTTAAGTTAAAAAAAATTCCCACCACCCTGTCCTTCCAGGGGCCACTTTACACTCAAAGTATGCCTGTGAGCATGCACAAACCCGGACTGCCGCCAGTGCTTCATCGGACGTGCTTCAGAGCCCCTCCCTGGTGGGGAGAGACCCTGCCTCGTCTCCCTGCCCAGACCAACCGTAAGCTGCGGCTCAGCAAGCCATTCAGATGATGGGCTCTTTTGCTTGGCCAACTAAAGCGTCTTTCACATTCAGACACACTTTTTATCTCTGTAAAGTCTGCAGATTAAGACCTGGGAGACTATGCTAATGGCAGCAACAGCGATTTTTATAGGAGGAAAAACTGGGTGATTATAAATAACAAAATTCCATAGCCCAAGGGAGGCTCAGAAAAAAATCAAGAAAAAGGAAACTGACTTTTGCTTTGTGAATGTCTTAGTTATTTGGTGCTAGTGTAACAGAAATATCACAAGTAGGGGTCTTGAATAAACAGTGTTTTTCTCACAGTTTAGGAGACTAGGAGTTAGAATTCAGGGCGACCGCTCTGGGGGAGATGTTCTCTCTGGGTAGACTCTGGGTGAAGGTTCTTGTCTCTTCCAAGCTAGTGTCTCTGGGCAATCTTCATGTGGCTTGGCATGTTTCTTGTCCCATCTGCTCCCTTATTTAATTTCTCTAATATAGAATTTTTAAAAAGCCTTGGTGGCACAGTGGTTATTGAGTTGGGCTGCTAATTGCAACGGCATCAGTTTGAAACCAATAGTCTGTTTGAGAGAGAAAGACTAGGCTTTCTACTCCCAAGAAGAGCTACAGTCGCAGAAACTCATGGGGTCAGATTCACTTTGACCGATACACTGAGTCAGGATCAACTTGATAGCAGTGAGGGATGGCGTGGGTAGAGTTACAGTCTTGGAAACTCACAAGGGTAGCTCTCCCCTGTAGGGTTGCTATGAGTCAGCATCAACTTGATGGCAGTGGGGGGGAAAAAATCTCAAAAGAGAATAATTAAAAAGTACCCTATAGTAATGCTCTCATTAACATAAAAGAGACAAGACTGTCCCAAACAGGATTAAAAATCACAGTAACACTGTTGTTTTTAGGTGTAGAAGTCTTCTAACTCACAGTGCCCTTGTGTACAACAGAATGAAACACTGCCAAGTCGGGGGCTGATCTCACAATAGTTCCTATTGTTCGAGTCTCCTGTTGCAGCGACCGTAAAGGCCTTTCTCATTTTGGATCACCCTCTACTTAACCAACATGGTCTTCTCGTGCTACCTGATAACTCGTCTCAAGTATGTGGGTCAAATCACCGTCGAGGCTAGGATTTACACTTCATTGGCGGGAGGGAGGCAAAAAGGTAAAGTTTTTAAAGCAAATAAGCGGGCGGGGGTGGGGTGTCCAAGTTCTGCACACGTCTCACCTACCCTTCTCCTCTGGTCCCTCTACTGTCTGTCCTACCAACTTGAGGACATTTCAACAACACATGCAGCTCGAGAGATAATCCAGGAATCCTACGACGCGCGTTCCAAGGGAAGAAGCAGTGTTCGGAGCTGCCTCGTTTCAGAGAGGCCGACCCTCTCTCCCCAACCCCAGCACCCCACCTCCACCCCCCACTGGAAGTTGAGCCCGGCGACGCTCGGGACCCGCCCGGTCCAGCCTGGGGGTCGGCGCTGGGCTCCCACAGACGGCGTGGGCACTTCGGGTCTGCCCGGAACTCACCACAGTCCCGGAACCCCACCGGCTCGGCTATCGACGCGGCGTTGAGCGCCAGCAGCAGGATCGCGGTGGCGAGGGCACGCATCGCGGCCTACGAAGGTCCAGGCGGCGAGAGAGGAAAAGTGGCCGCCAGAGTCACAAGACGAGCCTACCAGGGCGGGCCCGGGGAGGAGCCCAGTCGCCCAACCGTGCAACGGCCACCTAGCCTGAGACCCGCCCCGTCCCGCCCCCGGCTCCTCCTGGAACTCGACCCATGTCCTTCCAGCTCCGACGCCGCCAAAGTCCGTCCAGCAGAAGGACCTGCTTCCCAGCCTCCACCCTGCCGCCTCGGCATCCGCCCGGGCTGGGACCGTACTTCCCTGCATCCTAAGTCAGGCGCACGGTTAGCCAATCAGGACCCAACTCTTTCCTCACTACCCAATCGGCCTGCTCGGAGGCGGGGTCGCCGTACGGCCCCGCCCCCGCCCCGTTCTCCCCGCCTCCCGCGACTCCCGGGTGGCGTGACCGAGGGCCCGCGAGGGGCGGGGTTTGCGAAGAAAGATGGCGGCCGCCTGGGGGTTATCCCTGGCGGCCGCTGCTCTGAGAGTGGTCACTCGCTGGCCGACGTACAGGTACCAACCCTCGAACGCACCTGGGAAGGGAATGTTCGGTTCTGCGCCTCCCTGGCAAGCGGGAAGCTAAGGCCCGCGGGGATGGGTGGCGGAGGGCGGGCGGCTGCCCGGAGGCTGCCCTGGCCGGGGTCAGGTGCCTCTTCCCCCACCTGGCTCTTCCTCGTCCCTTGCGTGGCAGGCTCCCCGCGGCCTTCCCCTGGCCTCAGGTGCGTCGGGAAACGTCGTCCTCCAGCCCCCAGGCCAATGAGTGGCAGATCCATCTCACCGACAGCTGTGTCCAGGTAGGAGGTCGCGCGTGGGATGGCCGTGTCCCGGCCAGTGCCGGGACCTCCTTGGGGCCCACCCTTCTCTTCCCTGTCTCCCGGAATTCTCGATCCCCCCTTCCTGCATTTCAGAGGCTTTTGGAAATCACCGAAGGGCCGGAATTCCTCAGACTGCAGGTGGAGGGAGGAGGATGCTCTGGATTCCAATACAAATTTTCACTGGATACAGTTGTCAACCCGGACGATAGGCAAGGAGGAGGAAGGGGTGGGGCCTCAGAATGGTCGGCCGAGATAAGAGTGTCTCTGGTAAAAGATGCACTTTTATTCCACATCTCAAAGACTTGCGCTGGGTGGGGTGTAAACCACAGAGGATGCCGGCAGCATTCTTGGTCTTGCCGTCGTCGTCGTTGTAAAATAATGAAGTTTCAGGAGCAAAGCGGACCTGCGCTGGCCCAGAGGGAGTTGGTAAATCGTGGGGTGGAACGGCCATCCCAGGCCTACTTTTGGAAATGGTTCGCTGCATTCACTGACACCTCACCCCCCAGAGAAAATTAACACTTGTCAGACGTGGTCAGGAACTGCCCCCTTGCTCTTCAGAGACTAGAAGGTGGTGTGTTCCTGGGTGTGGGGCTGGCAGGCAGAGGGGCTGTTCTTTGGGGAATGTTTATGGTAGTCATGAATGCCTCTCCTGTCTTTGCAGGGTATTTGAACAGGGTGGGGCAAGAGTGGTGGTTGACTCTGATAGCTTGGCCTTCGTCAAAGGGGCCCAGGTGGACTTCTGCCAAGAACTTATCCGAAGCTCCTTTCAAGTGGTGAACAATCCCCAAGCACAGCAAGGCTGCTCCTGTGGGTCCTCGTTCTCCGTCAAAGTCTGAGGTGATGAGGAGGGACCCCGACACGGCCACCGCTTCAACCACTTGGAGGAACCTGGCATTCGTAGGACCCTCGAGGTCTGTCTCCTAATCATGGTCCGTTCTCAGATAGACTTCCCTCAGCCTACGAGTGCTATGTTCTGTCACTCCAGTTTTCAAAATGTGAAGCTTGTACTCTTAATTTCATCCCCCCCTAGCCGCAGCCCTTCATTTCTAAGTTCCTGTCTCCAGAGCTCTTTCTTCAGATTGAATCACTGGTGGAAACCCAGTATAATGTACAGAGCCTCCAAGGCTCCAAAATGTGGAGTTACTGTTCTGGCCTTCAGAGCTGCTTGTACATATGTGGACTGCTATATATTATATAAAAGCTATCTTTAGAAAGGAAATCCTTATTTATTGGTATTTTGCCTCTAGGGCACAGACTGGGTAGCTGAAGTCCTGGTAACGTGGCGAGGGGTGACAAAGGCAAATAGAATGTTCCTTACCATCTCAACCTGTCCGAACATTCTGCTTGATCCAGCCTTGATTTTTATGCAACCCACTCTCCACTTCCTATTTGTTGGGCACTCATCCTCATGAATCTGCTAGGCCCCAAATAACCGATCACGCAGACAGCTGAGACCAGACTCCCTCTGACACTGGAATCATCTGGAAATGGGCCTCCTTGCCCACAAGGACATTTCAAGATGCTGTGACTGAATCTTTTCAGAATAAATTGCTTCACTGACTTCATGGTATAAAATGCCTCTGCTCTCCTGCATCCCTAGTGGATAATAGACACGTAAGGATCTTACTTAGATGGTGTTGTTGGGTGTCTTTAAATGGGTGGTGACGCAGAGTGACTGTGTACAGCAGAACCAAACACTGCCCAGTCCCATGCCACCCAGCCTCCTAATTGCTGCTATGGTTCAGCCCATTATTGCAGCCACTGTGCCAATCCACCTCCTGACGGTCTTCCTCTTTCTCGCTACACTTGTACGTAACCAAGCAGAATGTCTTTTTCCAGGGCCTGATTTCTCCTGATAACATGTCCAAAGGACATGAGATAAAAGCTCACCAGACTCTTTCCTCAGGGACCTTCTGGCCGTACTGATTCCAAGACAGATTTGTCTGTTCTTCCGTGAGCCCGTGGCACTTTGAGTCTTCTTCACCAGCACTGTGATCCCTATGTGTCAACCCTTCTTTGACCTTTCACTGCATTCGAGGCAATTGAAACATGGCTTGGGTCAGGGGCACATTCATCCTCAGAGTGACATCCTTGCACGTCGTCACTTTAAAGAGGTATCGCAGATTTTCCCCAAGTAACATGTCATGTGAGATCTTAACTGCTACTTCAATGAGCATTGATTATGGATCCAGGCAGGATGAAATCCTTATTTAGATAAACCAAAAACCTAACTCACCGCCTTTGAGTTAATTCTGACTTATAATGACATAAAGGACAGGGTAGGACTGCCCCTGTTGTCCTGAGGGTCGGCAGCCCAACACAGCCCACTACGCCACCAGGTAGGCCAAATAAAAAACCGCATTCCCGGTGAAGTTCAAATTTTAGATAAATTACAATTTTTCTTTTTTCTCATTAAACTCTATTTTAATGGGTCTCAAAATTCTGTGACAAATTTTTGGTCAAGTTGTTTTCCATTTAAAAAGTACTGATTTTAAAAACTAATATCACTGCCACACAAAAAAGAAACATACGGTCCACACACATTCTTTTGCTTCTGAAAGTTTTACGATGCATTGTTATCATCAACCAGTCTTTTACTATGAAACTTAAAGGGCCAATTGAGGCAAAGCACTGAGACCATTCTCCCACCCCTGATGAAGACTGGAGTGGTAGGGATGATGGGTAATATTCATTTAGCCTTCTGAACTTTCTGGGCAGACTTGGTGACCTTGCCAGCTCCTGCAGCCTTGATGACACCCACAGCAACAGTTTGTCTTATGTCCTGGACAGCAAAACGACCCTGAGGAGGAGAGTTTTC